CTGGAAACATTTCATACAAAAGGTATAAGACAGGTCAAGGTACACAAAATAACAAAATTCGATATCAGCTGTGATACACACACACACGCCTGTTATAAATATATCGTCAACGAACTGAATGCATGGCCAGCTTTTCTCGAGAGCATCGAGAAACAGTTGAACTCCTGAAGATCAGAGGTAGATTCTCTCCCCTTCAGAGTAACAACATCCGGGACTGCCATCTTTCTGGTAAAAAGGCTTCTTGACATAATTAAGCATAGTCTTTGACTAGAACTGAGATGATGTGATTGTACTCATACACTACAATATTTGTGCGAGCATTTATGAGTCAGTTAACTCAAACCGTGAATAAATCTGTATCATTTTCTTTTTACCTCTCCGAAGTATTGTAAAAGTTGTGAATCGTTTACATCAGCATTCTGAATGGTATCTATAATCGGTTAATCTATGCAAATATATCAGTGATATACATATATCTAGAAAAAAACTAACAAAAATGGAGGGTGGGTGGGTTTACAAATTATAAAAGGAACGAAAGAAAGAGAAAGTAAAGATTTATTTGTATTTGTTTTTATATAAAGGTGATCTTTTCAATGAAGAAATTTAATATAACTGCATGCAAATTACTGAAAGCTTTTACATGGACGTAACTTTATAAACCAATACGTAACACACATGTCTGAGGTAATGCAAGAGTTCAGTCACGTGCATTTATTAACATGTTTTAATTAAAACAGCGTTTTGATTAAGATACGTTACAAATGCGCTTTCTGCACGTTTAGAACTTGAGTCATAAGAGGCTACAGAAGACTTCCCATCAAAGGTAGATGAGATCTCCATGTGAAACCTTTGTGTAAAAAACACAAAAAGAACAACTACATACGCTTTGATTTACGGAGTGTTTATTGCTTGTTGGCTGCTACACCTAGCATAGCTAGAATCTTCCTTCGTCCCCTAGTGACTGAATCCATCCAACAGACTTTGGGTTTTTTTTTTTCAAAGCTTGCTTAAAAATGAGGGGTTTTGTTTGCAAATTAAATAAATTTTTGCTTTAAAATTGTAAAGGTGTATATTGTTTGGAGCAAAAAAGTAGTTGTTTCATGTAGCTTTATACTTGATTCCCCTTCTTCATGCTCGTTATTTATTTATTTATTTGTTTATTTATTTATTTATTTATTTATTATTATTATTATTATTATTATTATTATTATTAGTAGTAGTAGTAGTAGTAGTAGTAATGTTGTTGTTGATGTTGCATATAAAACTAATGAAATTTTAATATCTATTTGAAGTTGTGAATGTCACTGCCAATATATGTTCTGCTGTATATGACTTTTCTTAGAGAGATCGTCACTTTAGTACCATTAGGATTGTGTGGAATCTGTTAGGGCTAATGAATACAAATAATTCTAGTTTAACTTAATAATGGTTTTGCTTTAAATAGACAATAAATAAATAGATGTAAGCAATAATTCCTTTCTTCCCAAAGGATCATCCACCTCCTGAAGGCTGCTGTAACTGCTATATAAACGTGAAAATGGCCGATTTTCCAACACAGGCAGTAGTCATAGAATTTCAGTCTATTTGAAATATTTTAGTTTGATATGTTGCCTTTAGTAAACCATATCCCGTAGAGCTAGGCCGTGTAAAAGCTGCACTGATAAATAAACTATAAAAGACGTTCTTATTGAAAATATTGATAGTCGACTGTTTCAAATAAAGAATTTTTATTCCTGTTTGGGACAAGAAATATAAAATTATATCTGCACAACTCATCAGAAGAACGGGTAAAAACGAAAACAACGTAAATAAAAGATAATGTGCAATTAGATTTCTCATATGTTGCTATGGTCACAGTAAACATACAACTTTTCGTTCTCAAATTTATATTTGTGAATAGATTACATTTGTTTGATTGGCAACCAGCGAATTTTTAACTAAACGATCATCAGGAATCGAGGATCCAGATACAAAAACATAACGAAGACAATCTGAAAATCTCGCCAACTTCAAGAAATTTCTCAAGTCTTATCAATAAGGGAAACTTACTTCCAGTTATATAATTTTTAAACCAAAGAGCTAATTTTCATCCTTTTAACAGTATCTGCTTCCAATAAAAGTCTACTATTTACAGAACTATCATATGGCAGTTTATTTCAAATCTCAGCTGAATAAGCAATTTTGAGAATTTGAGTGAAACTGAGATCTGGACAAGAAATGAATACCGAGTCAATAAGAAGTACGTTAGTAATATTAGATGAGACTCGAATATACTAAAAGCTATGTCGCCATTTTGATTGAGGAAATATGAAAGATTGAATAATAAATTACCTTTAAATTATAAAAAAATAGAAATAAAAAACACAACAAGATATGCAGAATATCAGGACGCAGCGTGAATAATTTAAAGAAGTTGAAAAACAAAGAGATGACAAGCAAATGTTGGAACATACAGAGCCATAGAGAAACAAAAAACGGAGAGGAATTTGCTGTCATGCGTCAGTTATCTTCTTTGGAGATGGTGCTGAAATAATTGCTTAATCTGTCCACATGATTCTAGAGATCTTAAATGCAAAAGCACAGGCAAAGTTATCTTCTCAGTGGAGAACGAATCCATAAGTCTTTACATCACAGAATCCATTTTACTTGGTGCTCTTTACAAGTTATTGTTCAAGTTGGAGGGTTTGCGATTGGTTAACGTCTCTTACTCTTATTTTGTCTGGATATGGTATCCCCCAACAAAGAAAGTGGAGGAATTTTCGAATAGACACGGAGTGCAAAGAACAGTTGTTCACAGACAAACTCTAACCTTACGTTTCTTGGACCATTGATCGCGTAATTTAGTAAATTATATATATATATATATATATATATATATATATATAAATATATATATATATATATATATATATATATATATATATATATATATATATATATGTGTGTGTGTGTGTGTGTGTGTGTGTGTGTGTGTGTGTGTGCAAAATGTTTTCCAGGGTGGGCCATGCTGCAAGCGCTCATGTATATGAGAAGAATTACAAATATACTCCAGAGAGAACGAAAATTCTATCACTGGATTCTTTAGAAGAATGCTTGATACTAGTAGGCAGAAAACTAATATTTAATACAAATAATAATATTATACAGGTTAGAGACTTTTTAATTCGTACTCTAAGGAGATTTGAACCAAGGACGAATATTAATTCTGTCAAGCATTCTTATATAGAATCCAGTAATATCACTTTCCTTTCTGTCTGGTGTATATTTATAATTCTCTATAATTAATCCAATATACATTGATTTCTTTCATAGGAATCCGGAATGAGTGTAGATAGATGAGAATTAATTACTAAGTTGTCATGTGCGTGTGTCTGCTACTTGCGTGTGCATATAACACAGATTCAGTCGCATTATTTATGGTGAAGCGTGTTTAGTCGTGATGAAATATGGGCTAGTGTGTGCAGGCAAGGCGATGGGTGCCGGTTATCCGGGTTAGAATCTCCGCAGGGTACGAATTAAAAATTCTTTGACCTGTATGAGATTATTAATTATAAATTTAAAGGTTAAATTACTGTAGAAACAGCCATATCAAATTTTGTAAACAACTTTTTATCTGTTTTATTTGGTTGCCTGGTCTACGTTTTGTATCTGCCTTTGAAAAATACTCATTAAATTGTTAGTTTATTACACTTATCCCTGACACACGCGATCCCTTGCTGGATCGATTGTACTTGAAATAACTGTTATTCCCCTTATGACTTGTAATCTTCACACACACACACACACACACACACACACACACACACACACACACAAATATATATATATATATATATATATATATATATATATATATATATATATATATATATATATATATATATATATGTGTGTGTGTGTGTGTGTGTATGTATGTAAGTGTGTGTGTGTGAATGGACCAAATTTTTGCAACCCCATTAGATATAAATGGTCACGTATTACTGATCAAGAATTTTTCTACATCGGCAAAGTATGCGGTCTACGTTTGGTCTCCAGTTACCCGGTAATTTTATGTGAAGCTTTATCTATACCAACGTCTTACAACACAATAGGAACGAACCCCACCCACTTACCTTTTGCGATTTCCTACCAAAATGTGCAGCCCGCTGATTAAAAATGCCCATTAGATGTTTAAACTATGTAATTGCACAGCCATTTAATACAGTTCAACACTTACCCATTTTGCCACATAAAGCGTATCGCAGGCTTTGCAAGCCAGTCTTAAGAAATTATTTCATTTTGTTTCAACAATATTTCACCGGCTGTTATTTAAGGTCATGGTCATATGTCGAGCAGGGGAACTCACTACAAATGAACACGATTTTGCTTTGAAAGATCGAAAAGCGTAGAAAACAGAACAACGAATTGTATGAGAACACTTGCCTTACACAAGAGTAATGTTAGAAAAAGAAAGAAACTGCATGGTTTAATCAGTATCAACCAATTCTTAATATATTAAAATAATGATAATAGCACGCTCTTTATATGACTGGCATGACCCGCTCTCACACTCTACCCTATACTACTACATAAGGAATCGACAACTCTTGGTTAGCAAAGACTGAGTTATGTATTCTGTTGCAGTCAAGAGACTAATGAAAGAAAACTTCGAGATACTTAAAGGTGCAAGGAAATATGCTTATATGATAACAGAAAGGAATTAAGAGGAAATTATAACCTTTAAAGGATCATGTTTGGGTGTTTAATATATACATTTTACCTGAGCATTGATGTGATGTGATTATGATTTTTAATGTTTCTTTAACAATTTTTCAGTCACATTGCTACGATGTCTGCAGTGTGGCAGTTTATTATGATGTCTAGCACTGGGGCAATATGCCGCAGACATGTAGCATGATGTCCTACTCAGTCAGATTATCATGACACCAGGCAGGCCAGTCCTAACACTAACCTCCTAATGCTGAGCGTCAAGCCAGGCAGCTGTTAGTACCATTTGTGTAAGTCTTTGGTATGACTCGACCGGGATCAAACCCACGACCTCCCGCATCCGAGGCGGACGCTCTAACCGCTATGCCACATGAACATTGACAAAATTAGCATACTTTATTTACTGTGTGAATTATTAAATAAAATTTTACAAATCGATAAATACCCAACCATAATCAATTTCTTGTATATGCGGCCAAAACCAATTCCCATTTCAACACGACACACTGAGGCAAAGTCAGTTTATTAATAACACTTATGTATATACTAAGAGAAAGACAATTTTTTATTCTTCTGGTTGTGTGTGTCTTGTACAGACACACAAACACACACACATACATACATATATATATATATATATATATATATATATATATATATATATATATATATATATATATATATATATATAACTATATATATATATCTATATATATATAAATATATATATATATATATATATATATATATATATATATATATAAATATATATATATATATATATATATATATATATATATATATATATATATATAGTGAGAGAGAGACAGAGACAGAGAGACAGACAGACAGAGATAGACAGAGAGACATCAGGAAGACAGAAATTGCAATAAGTTTAACAAATTCTGCATACACAAGTTCACATGAAAAGTGTCCTTTGAGTCAAGAAGGCAAGAAGGTCTTAATTTGTGTGTGTTGGTATATTCCTATATGTCTCTGCGTGAGAGAGAGAGAGAGAGAGAGAGAGAGAGAGAGAGAGAGAGAGAGAGAGAGAGAGAGAGAGAGAGAGAGAGAGAGAGAGAGAGAGAGAGAGAGAGAGAGAGAGAAGAAGAAGAAGAAGAAGCATTGCAGATGATTGTTGTGTTTTATGACCCTTTTTGTATATTTTTTATGTCCTTAGTCGATACTTGAAGTCAACAATGAGCGATCACATATGTAAGTAAAGTTAGAGAAAAAAGCAACAATTCGAGAGAGCATTCATCAGGCATTAAGACAAAATTTTTGATCTCCGACACTCATTTTCTAAATATTGTTCGTAGTAATTCGAACTTAAAAACAATTTACTCAAGCTCTTTTAACCATCATGCTAGTTTCACAAATGATCTCTCTCTCTCTCTCTCTCTCTCTCTCTCTCTCTCTCTCTCTCTCTCTCTCTCTCTCTCTCTCTCTCTCTCTCTCTCTCTCTCTCTCTCTCTCTCTCTCTCTCTCTCTCTCTCTCTCTCTCTCTGAACCAACCAAATCTAGAATCCTTGAGAGAATGAATAACGGGTTAACACTGCAACACAGTTAATGGTATAGATGAAAATAGGGAAACCAAAACCTGGATCAGTTCTGAAGTACTAAATGTGCCAAGTAAGCAAACTTAAATTGATGCGATGACAGCGTTACATATATCCGACGGCGCAGACGAAGCGATCCCCAATTCTCATTCCTTTTCCCCAGGCAGCCGGTTAAGTGTTCTGATGTAACCTCCTTTTGCTAAGACAAATTAAAGATAAGTAATCAACAAGCTGTCATTCCTTGCTGGAAATAAAATTAAAAACGACTGCCAAGAGCAATGTTTAATATAAATGATTTCTACACGGCCACGTTCCATTTTGTTCGTGCTTTCACCAAGGTGTAAGAAGAATGCACTGTACAAATTTTTTGGTTTTTCATGTCAGTGTAAGCTAGCAGTAGATCTATGTATACATAAATGTTCCATTAAAAATATAAACATGAATGATTTGCAAAGCCATGACAATCCTGTACCGCCCAAAGCTCGAGACGAACGAGCTGAAACCTGATTATTTGGAGAGAATGTCCTGTTATAGATATTATGAAGTCTGACTGGATAGTTTCGTATTTTGACATCCCCAACCCCTAATTTTAAAGGTAAAGGCATTAGCATAATTATCACTATTTCAGCATTTATAAATTCACACATAAGTAAAATCTGTATTATGGTTTAGATCTACTTTGAGGTATGCTTGGAGATGGGTTGGCTTGCTGGTGACTGCCTGTCATAGACTATCATTCGAGATCAAATTCGTAACTTGGGCTTACGTATTTACATGTGTCTGCTACAGAGGTAAATATCTAAAAAAAACTACATGGTTGTGGAGTAATGAAAAGTATGCATATTTGTTAAAGTACTAGTGAAAGTTAAAGATGAATAAAGTACACACTGATTCTTTTAGCAGCCTTGTCACAGGAAAATGTTCAAAACAGTTCTTTCCTATCAAAAATGAATGTAAAAAATGTGGTTGGTAGTACCAGTTGCATAAAGAATTAACCATAATACCTCAGTCAGAATTTACAAGCATCCTTTCAACAAAAATCATCAATTAGTTTTTATTTGTATCTTTTATGTGATATTATTATATTATCATTTTTCTGAAATATGTTATCGTCGGGTGAAAATTTGCCGATAAAACTGTCCAGTGAAACCTGAGCCGTTTAAAGTGTCCAACACCATTCATTACCATTATCAGTTAGAAGGCATGGAGCTGGGTATTGACAAAAATAATGACTCTTCCAAAAATGTGTGCAGCTCTTTTTTTAGACACGAAAATTAATACCGTCTGTACTAGCTTATAAGACGAGTTAAAATGAAGGAAAAAAATCAAACAAACAGCAAAGAACATGATCTGCCGCAGCATAATCTGTCTGCAGAACAGGATTTGTGTTTTTCATTTTTATTTTACTGGTTACTCATCACATGCTCCACAAACCCAGATCTGCAAGTGCATTATGAACATGGTTTTGAAATATTTCGAGACGTTTCAACCGGCATAAATAGATAAAATAGTTATTAAGAACAACAATATTTACAGTTATTAACAACAACAATATTGATAGTTACCAGTAAATGTTTCTTTATGGAATAAATAAATATTTTAACAAATGTTATTTAAATGAAAAAATAAAAGCCATTTTAAATCAATACAGGCTTAAAACGTTTTCTTTTAAAACGTTTTGAAGCTGGATAGCTATGAGATTCAAGGCTTCCATTTTCGATACAGAATATATATTACATGTAATGGTTAGTCATTGTGGCTTATCAGTTCTCCAAAGAACAAATGTTTAATCACATTCTGATTGTTTAGACGTAAGCCATGTGCTTATCGAGTGCGCCAAGATCGGGATGATAGGACACGTTATCATATCACTTTTATTGAGCTGTCCTTGGCTGATATTCTGGCTGATTTAGGGATGCATTAATAATGAAAAGGTTTCCAAAGTTTTGTATACACTTCAGCGTACAGACCCCTAGAAGCAAAATAATTTATTGGAAAAAGGAGCCGCTACACAGATATCCTTTCTTTATATAATAATTTTAAACACAGTGTCAGCGAGAACAGCGCGGATGAGGTAACTTTCCTGCGAGCTTTTATTGCAATCAAAATTTTCATCGTAATTTACCTATACTTAGCAGAAGGGCGACAATTTCAGGGCTTTTAAAATGTTCGTATAAAGCAATTTGAGATACTAATACTAATGGTAGATCAAATTGCTATTTGCCCAAAGCCCATGAATTATCATTCTTATATGTTTCAACAGTAAGTTATTGTCTCTGTATAACCTAGATCAGAGAATATTTCCACAGGTCCTCTACTACCTGAACTTGTCCTCCTTATATATATATATATATATATATATATATATATATATATATATATATATATATATATATATATACACACACCTACCCTCCGGAGTGTCTTTTTTGAAAATTCAAATATTGTAGCACTATCATTGACATAAGAAAATATTTATAATCCTCGTTTTCTTATTGACTAAATCTTATACTTTTGTTTTGATCTCTCCGTCTCTCTTTCATGAATAAAGGGATGTCGATACCAGGTATCTACTATCATTCATTTCGAAAATGAGAAGCATGGCTTTTAGTAGAGATATACCCGATTATATTTAAGATAATAATCCAACTTTGGAATCGACTTCAAAAACTTGCGAAACAGCTTTATAGAATCAACTTTTGCGTCATTATCATGGCAGTTAAAGCATATTCAAGCTAAGTTAATTCTATATTGTATTTCATTGAGTTTGAACTGTTGTCAGGTACTCTACATACCAATATAGAAGAACTCGAGTTATGTTATAGATATTTAGTGAGACGTAGGTAATATTCGCCTACAGAGGCAACGTGCTGTACCTTCTGACTTGGGCACAGGAAGCATACTTAGCTAAGGCGAAATTAACCTTTGTCACCGGAATGTGTATTGGCGGTGATGTGGTGGTCTTATATTCTGAAAAGATATTAACTATACGTTTATGTTCGTAACTGACAAAACCTTTTGTACCAGATATCAGAATAACGAATAAACGTGGTCTTGGAAAAGTACTTTTAGACTATGAATTAAGAGTTCAATCGAAATGGAATAAAAGCTTGGCATTTGCACATTATTGATGTTATTTTTTTTCGTTGTTGGCATCCGTCCATCTTCGAGAGACGATGGTGTAGCTCCCAATATTGGTGCCTTATCTGCACCGTCGCGAGTGGCTGAAGAGTCCGACCCTTGCGTGACAATCTTTGTTGCACTTGCTGCAGGTGAAGATGGATTCTTGTTGGGGCTGATGATGATCCGCCTTCCTCTTGGCTCTCTTTGTAGCGAGGTTTGCAATTATTCTTTCCTCGGCTTTCTGAATGCCTTGTCTCACAGCAAGTCGCCACTCGTAGCGGTTGTTAGCACAGCTCTCCCAGTTGTTGACGCTGATGTTGACCTTTTTCATGTCCTTTTTGCAGACGTCTTTGTATCGCAGACGTGGCCGTCCAGTCGGTCGTGTGCATTCTGCTAGCTCGCTGTAAAACAGGTCTTTGGGAATGCGTCCTGTATCCATTCTCCTGACGTGGCCGAGCCATCGAAGGCGACTCTCGCTGAGGATGGTGAACATGCTATTCATGCTGGCCCGTTCCAAAACCTCCGTGTTGGGTACTTTGTCCTGCCACTGGATGCGCAGAATGCGCCGCATGCATCTCAGAGGGAAGCTATTGAGTTTTCTTTCGTGGCTTGTGTAGGTGGTCCATGCCTCACTACTGTAGAGGAGTGTGCTGAGCACACATGCCTGGTAGACACGCAGTTTGGTCTTTTAAGT